CCAATCCGCCACTGATATATATTAATAATAATATTATTATAATTATAATATAATATATAATTATTATATATATTATAGTAATATATATAATTACATAATATATATTGGTTTAAAAGGTCACAATTATATGTTACAGGTACATTAATAATTAATATATGTATATTATAAATTAATTAATTAATTAGTTAACCTTAAGGTTATAATTGTAATGTATAACCTATAATTGAGGAGCAATCAACCAAAACCAGATAAATCCATTTTGAATTCTTGAATGATTCATATTTCTTTTAGTCGGATAAATCAATTGGAAAAGTGAATTTCAAGATAAACTTATTATAATAATATATATATTATATACTAATATTAATATTAGTATATAATATAATAATTATTATATAATATTAATATTATGATCATATCATATTATGATAACAAGTTTAGCTTGAAATAGATATTTCCAATGGATTTATCTGAACAAAAGAAATAGGAACCATTCAAAAAGTCGAAATGGATTTATCTGGTTTAGTCTGATTGCTTCTCAATTATGGCCTTTTAAACCAAGTTTTTGTGTATTTTTTTAAGATGTTAAAATAAATATTTCGACAGATTAAATTATTTTGAAAAATGAAATCCATATTCTAAAAGCGCATGCGCAAAAAATAAAAAGTTCACGCGTGATGGCAAATTGAGCATCAATTGAGGACTCATCTGTCGCGTTATATGAATTCACGCGTGAATTTAATTTTCACGCGTGAATTCGTAGTGAATTCATAGTGAATTCATTTTGCTATCTGGGATTGTTTAAATTATCTATTTGCTACGTCACATTAGAATTATGTATAAATAGGAATTAATTTAATAAAACTCTCTATTTTAACCATAACCTGCCTATAATTCACATCTACCTAACTACCCTCAACATTTCCTAAACTCTATAAAAGTTTACAACGATTTTGTTTTACGTGTTTAAAAATAATTGTATTTGCAGTATACCTTCTTTAAGGCTTTTTGCTACTTATATTTATATTGTAAATAGGGATGTGCGAATATTCAATTTACGAATTATTCAAATTGTTGGAATGTTTGAAATATTCTTATGGTTTAAATATTTACATATTATTAGAATTTTTAAAGTATTCGAATAATTCGATCCATTAGACCTATCCCATAAAACAGACTTTTGGATAGCGCGTGCCTGAAGAAGAGTGGTATCTCTTTCTCTTTTATATAATTAAAAAAAGACGACGTGCCTTTTCACGCACGCGCTATCCAAAAGTCCGTTTTATGGAATAGCTCATTTAAATAATAATTTAAACTATTTGAATAGTTTAAACTATTAAAATAGTTCAAATGTTCAACTTAACTCGAAAAACTATTTACACACCACTAATTGCAACTAAAAATGTATCAAATTTTAAAAAATTTAAATTATATACCCATGGGTAAAAAAATGCTTTTTACTTTTTAAACGTCAAATATTGTTTTTTCTTATTTCTATTCTTGTTTATGATGGATGAGCTGTATTTTATTATTAATTTTTTGTTTATACCAAGTGACGAAGATTTTTTAACTGCAAGTACCTACTACCCAGTAAGCACAAGCTAGCCGGCCCGAATACGTTTTGCCGAATCGACCCGACACATGTATTTGTTCCGGCATGTAGGCCGGGGCATGTCCGCCTGGCCGAATGTCGGCTATGTTTACTCGGCCGAGTTTCGGCTGTGTATAGTTGGCCGAGTGCTGGCCACAACAGCCTGCAGGCCATTCAAAAAAGCCTTCAGACGTCCTGGATAGGTATATCCTATAGGTTTAACACACTCGACTGAGCAGATGAGGATGGAAACAATTAATGTTCAGCTATGCCATTACAGACGCACACTTCCAACTAAATATTGCAACCCATCGCTATTTATAGTTAGCTCGCTTGCGTAAGCAGCCGTGAGATGTATTGCTTATGCCGCGGCAGGCCGTATTCCAGCCGTAAGTGGGCCGGCTAATGCAAGCCGAACGATTTTGCAGCGGCATGCCGTATTCTGGTCGACTTCGGTTAGAACATGGCCAAACGGTACCGGGCTAACATAACGCAGGCCATAAGCGGGACGGCTGGGGGCAAGCCGAACCACCGGTCAACCGCCTATGCCGAGCGAAGGCCGACTGTTTGCCGAGTGTTTGGTGCTTACTGGGTACTTCTTTATGACTTTGTTAAGAATAAATTTGTCTCATCTGTTCATTCCATTATCGCTTCCAAAACAAAACCAAAAATTAATTATATCAAATTAAAATCAATATAAATTGCAGCAGGAAATGATTGAATTTATAACTTAAACGAAAATAAAGATATTTCCTGTAAGTAAACAGTAAACAATTAAAATTTTCTTTCTTTAATAATGAAAGCTTATACTTTTTGTTGCTTTTTTTAAATTATTATATACTTTTTAATACTTTTATACTTACAGAATTTTTGTATTTATTAATTTTTTGTAATTTGTCGCTTTTTGGTCTTCTTTTTTTACATCGTTGTCTATAATGTTCCCTGGGTCAAACCAAAAACATTACTACTTCAGAAGAAATGTTAACTAAACAAAACGATTAAAAAGTTTTTAAATTTAATAATTATTAATGCTCAAAATAAATTAAATAAAAATTAATTTTATTTCCTACCAATGTCATATTTTTGTCCAACTTTCAATAGATAGAATAGAATAGACCTAAATTGAGAAACAGCTTCAAAATAAAATTAATTTTATTTTCTACCAATTTTATATTTTTGTTAAACTTCCAATAGATAGAAATTTCTATTCTAGATATTTTAAAGCTGCAGCTGTTTTTCAATGTATCAATTCCTTTTAAAAGGAATTGATAAATTAAAAAACTAAATTGAACTAATTGAAAAACAACTTTTAAAAGGACTTGATAAATTAAAAAACAACTTTTAAAATATCTTCTTTCAATGTTGCTTTTGTTCTACTTGCTAAGCAAGAAAGTCATATCTGACAATTTGTTGATTTGGAATAATAATTATTGTAATATAAGACTACTTTTCTTAGTAACACACTATTTTTTTGTAGTTAGGTCAAAATTAATAAAAGATTTATCAATTTACTAATGCAGATAAAGCATTCTGGGTTAGTGCAAAACATGCAGAAATGTCCAATCTCTGATTTAGATATGATGTCAGGTACGACCTTCTTGCTTAGCAGGGCAGAATAACCAATCTTCTTAGTCAATTTTAAAAAATAAGGTTATAAATATGATTGATTTATCGATTTATAAATAAAGAAAACAGGTTAACATCAGAAACCGGATAATTAAGCACAATTTTAATTTTAAAAAGTTTTTATTATAATATTCTATTTTAGAAGTCTTAAAAGTATTTAATGTATTTGTAAATAAATTGATAAAAATAACTTAAAAAACTAACAAACCCCTCTCACATTTTTTTTCTTTTGATATCACAGTCTTAATTAAAAGAATAGTTTGAATTACAAATTTCGTTTTTAAAAAATGTGCGGGCGACCTTTACCTTTTCATGTATTAATATTTTCCTACTTAAGTAGACACTACTGTGATGTTTGGATGTAAGGTAAAAGGCAAACCAACGAGGTGTACTAGTTAACTATATTAGCTATTTTCGCGGAGCTAATCCCGAACTAATTCCGGACATCCTAGGCATGCGCTTTTTAAAATTTGGCGTTCAAATTGTAAAGTGCGCATGACAAATATTAAAATGCGCATGCCTAGGATGTAGAACTAGTTCGGGATTAGCACCGCGAAAACACCTATTATTATCTATAACATTACAACTAACTATCTACTATCTAACGCTATACCAACGTATATCTACTACCTCAGCTAGGGAACAACCGATAACGCAGTAACGCATTGTCCCCCCACTATAACTACGTAGGTACTACACTACACCTTCCCCGTTTTTTTTTCAAAACAATTTATCCAAAAATAAATTGTTTTTTTGAGAAGAAAAAATTTAAACTATTATTATATTTAAGCTACAGCCAGGTACCTACCTGTTATCTAATTAACTGACTTAAATAAGATAATTTATAAATTAAATGATAATTTATAAATTAAATATTTTTATTTTAATTGTAATATGGCTTTGTTTTATTTTTATGAACTAATTGTTCTTTATTATTTTTTTAAATAAGCACATTAGGATCACTCACGTTTAATACCTTATGTGGACCTTCGAGCACTGAACTAAGTTTGTTCCCTGTTTCGCACTCCACCATAAGAAAATCACCTATTTTATAATTTACAGGGTTTGAAATTTTGCCATAACTTAATTTCCTTAGATATTTACTTTTTACAAGATTTTGGTGAGCATCTGCATTGGCTCGTTCTAATCTATATCTTTATTCTAGAGGATAGTTGTCGAAGTTTTATAAAGGACTTACATTAACGTTACTTAAATTAGTAGGAATATTACATGTCCTACCAAAAACTAATTCGAATGGTGTATATTTAGTTTCGGTGTGCACCGTTGTGTTATAAGAATGGAACCCAAGAGCTCCACGAAATTCTTTGATTTTAAAATCAAATCAATTGAGTCTAATTTCTCAAATATGCACCTCGTGTGAGTTTTCTAATGATCCTATGCTTTCATGATGATTGGCAGTAGGTACTATAAAGTTGAGAAATATTTAAAAGTTTACATGTTTCTTTAGTTGTGGAAGAAATAAACTCCGTCCTCCGATCTGTAGCTATTTTGCTTGGGATGCCGTATCGCAATATAAAATTGTTTACAGAAGCTTTTGCTACCGTGATAGCGTCTTTAGCTTTTAGCGGGTAAGCTTCAACAAATTTTGTTAGTTCGCATTGCAAGGTCAAAATAAAAGAAAAGTTTTCTGAATCGGTTTCCATTGGACCTACAATATCCAAATATCACATTTTTTTTAAAATTCCATTACGTTCTTGTTCATACCTGGTCAATATTGTTTATCATGTCCACTTGTCAGAAGAATGTGAAAATTAATTTTCAACTATTCTCTGAATTTGAGACAGGCTTCCGTCAAAATGTCTACGTCAGAAACCCAGTAATCAATAAATTCTTTTTGGAAATCAAACTTATCGTATTTGTGCTCTTCGTACCATTTTAAAAATTTATTTCGTGCATCCTCCTTTATTATGTCTGGGTTGTAATATTTAATGGATGGCATGGGACCAATATATGTTTGGTTTTCCCAGGTGTTAAATAAATGAGGAAAATATCCTTTTTTAAATTTGTCATCCAACCCGAAAGCTTTTGATAGTGCTGAGAGGGCCATCGGAAAGTAGTTTAGGGAATCCAAAAATTTTACGTTCCCCAACTGCATCATTATAATTTTCGTCCCTCGCATAATCAGCTCGGGCGTTAAATCGGATTTGGTGAGTATATAGTTTAGGATAAATGGATGGTCGAAAGCCTGACCGTTGTGTGCCACAACAACTTCTTTGAATTATTTTCTAATTTCTAGAAGGTGTATCATAAACGAGGCAATAGGGTTTTCCCCTTTAACTTTTTGTAGTCTTACTCCGCATTTTTTGCAAACAATATCTGCAGTGTAAATGCACTCATCACAGCATTGCTTAACAACGCAGAGATTCGGTTCATGTTCATAACTACCGTCTTCTAGTTTCTTATCCTGTCTAGTGTCTAGATCATAGAAAACGTAGAATATGTTTTTTGTTCTAGGCTTTCCAGTATCAGTTTGATAGTACAGTTTTTAGGCACTTGGGACAGAGTCGAATTTAATTGCAGATAGATCCTGCCGTGCCGACCTGAATATGGTTATCATGGCATGCCTGGTTTTTAAATGTACGAAGACATTCTGTACAGTTAACCTTAATTCCATCTTTGCATGGTGGAGACCTCTGGCAAGCAAAACAAGATTTAACACACCTGTGTCTGTTTTTATTATTGTGCGAAACATGACATTCCTCACAATAATAACTGCAGTAGAAAGTTTATCAACAAAGGATTTGGCAACAACAAGAGCACGAGGTAAACACAGGTTGTCTGTTTTTAATAGCTATTATCCCCTGTCGTTTCGCACACTCTTCATCGAATGTGTTGTAGTTTTTTCCTATTATTCCTTTTCCAGCAGGCATTTTAACAGAGGTGACTCAAAGGCAAAAGGTTTCAGTATTCAGCCCCATGGAATTGGACTGATAACCCAGCAAACCAGGTTGTTCCATTTACATAGCCATGATATAGCTAACAAAGAACATTGCCATATAAAATTGTTTATATAACATTTACATATTAGTTCTCTATTTTGTTACATAATTACAGGCCCGTTCCTGAGGTGTCTGGCGCCTTTAAATAAAATACATTAAATATTTTAATTTTAAGCCCTTAAATTTAAAAAAATATATATTTTGCGACAAACTGGTAATATGTAATTGAAAATGTAAAAAACGCTTTAATTAAGTATAAAAAATATTTATTAAATTACCAAACAAACAAAATCACAAAAAATATTCAATGATAATAATACTCTAAAGAAAACAAAAAAACAATCTAAACAATATAATAACTACAAATGGTTTTTTGTGACGTACTCTCTAAAAATGAATTAGTCAAAAATGACTAGTTTTCGAAGTAAAAAAAGCAGTCACTAATAACTTTAGTCCACAGCAATTTGTATCCCGGAAATATAACAGCTTATTATTATATAAAATTGTCCCCTGAATCCGAAAATACCGTTAAAAATTATGAAAGTAAAGCAGTTTTTAAGATATAGTTCTACGTTCTACTTTTATTACTTTTGACATTTTCAGATTCAGCGGACAATTTTACATGGGAGTTGACTGCTAAATGTCCGGGATACAAATTTGTATGGCAAAATGGCTGTAAACTATTGTAATTATGTATAATATGATAATATGTAATTATCGTCAATAGAAATTAATTGCTATTGACGATGAACACAATAGTTTACAGCTATTTTGCCCACCATGTCTCACTATGATCACACTTTTTTTCATGGAAGCGTTTTCGAGGTTTGGCGTTTTAGCGAGTTCTAATTGATCGATTTGACAAAACAAGCACTTAAATCAAAGGTAATTGAGCCCTCTACAACTTTCTCTTATATAGTTTTGGTATCGGCCCAGTAGTTCGATGCTAGCGATTTTATTAAGTTGAAATAGATATTTGTTTTACAAGTGTTGAAAAGCGACTTTTTCATGCGAGTTTTTAAGTTGCCCCCGAGGCTGTTAGGCCAAGTGTGCATTAACACGAGCTTGAAGAAAGCTTTTCTCACAAGTATAACACAATGTTTTTTCTGCGACCCTTTTATTTTTTATTATTTTTAAATACAAAACAAAATAACCTAAAAATTTTTTTGACAGCTAAATATCAAACGATGCTTTCCGGTTCTTTTCACACAGACCTGTCACTTTTCACACAGAAATGTCACTTTACATTCGTGTTTTGCCTTGCCAATGAAAAGATTCATTTTCTAAGCAACGATGCCATCATGAAAAGTGACTTTTACATAGTGGTCGTAGAAAAAAGTCCTTTTTTTTACAAAAATCGAGGTCGAAAATTTACATATCTTTCTGGAAAAGATAGAGATCAAAAAGATAAGTCGAGTTTGATTTATTTTACGTATAGATAATACCAAAAGGAAAAAATAAGCTGCTGTTGATAAAAATCCATGAATAAATGGCGAAGTTATGAATTTTTCAGTGGAAGACCAAAATTCAGTTTTTGGAGAATTTTTATATAATACCTACATATATATTAAACATTAAATATTGAAATTAAATTATATATTAAAAATTAAATTAAATTAAATATTGAACAGTTTTATTTTGTTGGTTTAAAAAAATCTGTCTCCTTCTTTGTTTTTAGTTGCTTTCGTATTCCGTTTCTCGTATGAGGGACCAAATCACCCATCATGGTTGTATCCCAGAAGCCGTGATACCTCCGGTCCATAGCCTTCATTTGCTGGTGAAAACGTTCTCCGTACTCGTCACCCAGATTGTCCGGATTATTTACGCACTCGAACTCTACTTCTTTTACACTTTTTATACAAAATAAAACTATGATAAAAATACCTTGTTGAAATATCAAAAAATAGCAGTAAAATGCCAATCTGCCAACACGAGAAACAAAAGAATTCACGTTTGAGGAGTCATGTCAAATTTAAATTTTGAATTATGTTTTCGATGAAAAAATTTCAATCATGCACTTTAATTAGGTTTTCATTAAAGAATAAACATATTACAAAATAAAAGAAAAAAAACTAAAAATCGTCAAAAAGCTGAATATTGGTCTTCCACTAAAAAATTCGCCATTTTCATTGTATTTTTATAAACATTGGCCTGTTTTTTTTATAAAAATGTAAGCTGTATGAAAAAAAATCAAACTGCAGTTATCTGTTTGACTTAAACCTTTCCCAGGACGATATGTAAATTTTCGACCTCAATTTTTGCCATAAAAACGATTTTTTTAAGTTATTAAAATCGTTAGCATCAAAATACTTATCGGATATCAAAAGTATGTTAAAGAAAGTTTTGGAGGGCTTAAATACCTTCAATTGGGCTTGTTTGGCCAATTAGATTTAAAGTTATACTCAAAAACGTCAAATCACAAAATTGAAAAAAAAAAACATTTCAAAAACGCTTCCATAAAAAAAATACCTATGAGTGTGATTTTCGTGTTTAGTGGGTTAAAATACATGGGAAAATTATAATGGGATATGGTGGCCAGAATTTTTTTTCGATATGGTAAACTAGTGTTATTAGTTGCTGCTTTTTCGCTATAGCAATTAGACTAATTAAATTAATCATTTTTGACTACTTCCTTTTTCAAGAGTATACTCTTTAAATAGAATTAGTCAAAAATGACTAATTCAATTATAATTGAATTAGTCATTTTTGACTAATTCTATTTAAAGAGTATACTCTTGAAAAAGGAAGTAGTCAAAAATGATTAATTTAATTAGTCTAATTGCTATAGCGAAAAAGCAGCAACTAATAACACTAGTTTACCATATCGAAAAAAAATTCTGGCCACCATATCCCATTATAATTAGACTATAGTCTAATTGCCATAGCGAAAGGGCAGCGACTATTATAATAACAGCTTATAAGCTCGTTACAAAGTTATACACTGTGTAGACTACTGTTAAACTTTGCTACTATCAAACAAATACTAAAAATATTATGACCATTTCTCTCCTTTTATTTTGATCCTCATATCAAGTACTGATTGACTTTTTGATTTTGCGCCCCCAAAATGTTGCGCCTGCGTGCGTGCACGCACTGCACGCTCGCCAGGAACGGGCCTGCATAATTATGATAAAACATAGTAATATAACATTTATATACAGTAGAAACCACCTATATATGAACGTGACTCATCAGGTGCCGAACATATCTCAGACATGCTAGCAGTAATGTTTTACTTGTCTTGTACATTCGTAGGTTTTTAAGCATCCGGTCTAAAATGCGCGTTCTGTGATGTAAAACTACCTAGGTGTTCGACAAAGATGGACATACAGTCCGTTCAGGCTAAGTTGAGCGCTTTGGTGGGGGACAATGTGGCCGTTGATTAAATTAAATATCGAATCGTCGCGAGATTTCGGTAACAAGAAGATGATTTATCAGTGCCGCGGCTTGCCGTTTGTTCGTACAGAGCGGCTACCAAAATACATGTATTTAATTGTGCCTGAACATAGAGATGATGGACAGGGTGACATTCCTTAGACCGCTCAACTTAGCCTGAACGGACAGTATGACGCGTGTCCTAGCTTGTTACTTATTTTTGTTGGAATTCAGTAGAGTTCGTGTTTTAGGCAATTTATTTTATTTTATTACATAGTAAGGCAACCAACTCTACCGTCGGCCATTTGTTTTTATATGTCATATGATCTTTGTTTTTGCATATCGTGTTTCTGCTGTGTGTTTACGGATTATTAAAATCGTTTTAAACGTTGTAGTGGCAGTGGTTTTTATTGCAAATGTTATTGCACGTTTTTTGGATTAAAACGGTAAATACAAAGATTAATTAATTAATAAAATTTAACTTTAAAAGCAATTATATCAGAAGTATAGCAACCAACATTACACTCAAGTGTTTGTACAAATTTCCCGTGACCTTCGATAGATTGCTTCGTACGATTGTGCCTGATGAGTCACGTTCATATATTCGTGGTTTCTACTGTAAATATGTTCCCCTCTTGTTATAATTAGTAATTACATACCTTTTATGTATCAGCCACAATGTTATATATCTACATTGGAACAATGATACATCATTGATATATGCAATGTTTTATAGTATCCATACAGGGCCGGATTAAGACAATTTGTTGCCCTAGGCTAA